CCAGTATGGACCAGTACGGACCGGTATAATCCGGTACGGACCAGTATGGACGAGTATAAACTGGTACAGACCAGTGTGAACCAGTACGGACCAGTATGGACCGGTACGGACCAGTATGGACCAGTATGGAGTGGTATGGACTGATATGGAGAAGTGAATTCCCAGTGTGAACCATTATGGACCAGTACGGAGCAGTACGGAGCAGTATGGAGCGGTATGGACCAGTACGGACCAGTATAAACTGGTACGGACCAGTATGGACCAGTACAGACCAGTATGGACCAGTGTGGACCAGTACGACTGGTACAAACCAGTATGGACCAGTACGGACCAGTATGGACCAGTGCTGACCAGTACGGACCAGTATAAACCAGTACGGACCGGTATGGGCCGGTATGGACCACTATGGAACACTGAATTCCCAGTATGGACCAGTATGGGCCAGTATGGGCTGGTACAGACTGGTATAAACCAGTATGGAACAGTGCAGACCAGTATGGACCAGTATGGAGTGATATGGACCAATACAGACCAGTACAGACCAGTATAAACCAGTATGGACTGGTATGGAACAGTGAATTCCCAGTATGGACCAGTATGGACCAGTACGGATCAGTACAGACTGGTATGGATGGGTATGCACCAGTATGGACTGGTATGGAAATAGGAACCCCCACCAGGGCGTGCCAGTGCTCGATGGGCTTGGGGGATTCTTATGGGGTTATTATGGGGTCTGGGGGGTTCCTATGGGATCCTGGGGGTCCCGGTAGGTTTTGGGGGGTCCCGGGGGGTTTTGGGGTCCCCCCGGCTGCCGGGGGGGGGGTCCTGACCTCCACCAGGGTGTGCCAGTGCTCGATGGGCTTGCGGGGGTTGGCCAACATCTGCGCCCAGTGCTCGCGGCCGGGGCCGTCGGCGTCGCTGCCCACGCGGCACAGCCCGATCACCTCGTTGTGCCCGATGCTGCCGGGGGGGCGCGGGGGTCAGGGGCACCCCAAAAACCCCAAAATCCCCCCAAAAAACACCCCAAAAAATCCCCAGTTTGAAGGACACCAAAATCCTCCAAAACGACCCCAAAATCCCTCAAAAGTTGGTATCGTTGCCCACGCGGCACAGCCCGATCACCTCGTTGTGCCCGATGCTGCCGGGGGGGTCGCGGGGGTCAGGGGCACCCCAAAAACCCCAAAATTCCCTCCAAAGACCCCCCAGGATCCTCCCAGTACAAACCAGTTGGACCAACAATGATGACAACGTTGACGCTCTCATAGAGGACGTCAACCAAGGGTTGTCCCATTGCTCCGGGATGACCCCAAATGCCCCAAAACCACCCAAAATCGCCCCAAAACCCCCTCCACGACCCCAAAATTCACTTCAGATACCCCCCAGGGATCCTCCCAGTACAAACCAGTTGGACCCCATAATGATGACGACGTTGACGCTCTCATGGAAGATGTCAACCAAGGAGTGTCCCATTGCTCCGGGATGACCCCAAATGCCCCGAAACCCCCTCAAATCACCCCAAAAACCCCTCCAAGACCCCAAAATTCCCTCCAAAGACCCCCCCAGGCTCCTCCCAGTACAAACCAGTTGGACCCAACGATGGTGAAGATGTTTACGTTCTCATGGAGGACGTCAACCAAAGGGCGTCCCATTGCTCTGGGATGACCCCAAACACTCCAAAACCACCCAAAATCACCCCAAAACCCCCTTCAAGACCCCAAAATTCCCTCCAAAGACCCCCCAGGATCCTCCCAGTACAAACCAGTTGAACCCAACAATGATGACGACGTTGATGCTCTCATGGAGGACGCCAATCAAGGAGCGTCCCCTTGCTGCGGGATGACCTCAAATGCCTCAAAACCCCCCAAAATCCCCTCCAAGACCCCAAGACAGCCACAAAGACCCCCCAAACTCCATCAGGAGCCCTCCCAGTACAAACCAGTTGGAACCAACAATGATGGTGAAGATGTTGACGCTCTCATGGAGGACGTCAACTAAGGGGCGTCCCATTGCTCTGGGATGACCCCAAATGCCCCAAAACCACCCAAAATTGCCCCAAAACCCCCTCCAAGACCCCAAAATTCTCTCCAAGACACCCCAGGATCCTCCCAGTACAAACCAGTTGAACCCAACGATGGTGAAGACGTTGACGTTCTCATGGAGGACGTCAACCAAGGAGTGTCCCATTGCTCTGGATGACCCCAAACACCCCAAAACCACCCAAAACTTCCCAAAACCCCCCAAAATGACCCCAAAACCCCTCCAGGCCCCTCCCAGTGCTCCCAGTGTGCACCAGTTGAACCCAACGATGGTGAAGATGTTGACACTCTCATGGAGGACGTCAACCAAGGAATGTCCCATTGCTCTGGATGATCCCAAACACCCCAAAACCACCCAAAACCCCCTCAAAGACCCCAAGAAAGCCCCAAAGACCCCCAAAACTCCATCAGGAGCCCTCCCAGTACAAACCAGTTGGAACCAACAATGATGGTGAAGATGTTGACGCTCTCATGGAGGACATCAACTAAGGGGCGTCCCGTTGCTCCGGGATGACCCCAAAACCCCAAAAAATCACCCCAAAACCTCTCCAGGACGCCTCAAAGACCCCAAAAATTCCCTCCAAAGATCCCCCAGAACCTTCCAGTACAAACCAGTTGAACCCAACAATGATGACAACGTTGACGCTCTCATGGAGGACGTCAACTAAGGGGCGTCCCATTGCTCCGGGATGACCCCAAATGCCCCCAAACCACCCAAAATCACCCCAAAACCCCCTTCAAGACCCCAAAATTCCCTTCAAATACCCCCCAGGATCCTCCCAGTACAAACCAGTTGAACCCAACAACGATGACGACGTTGATGTTCTCATGGAGGACGTCAACCAAGGAATGTTGCATTGCTCTGGGATGACCCCAAATGTCCCAAAACCCCCTCAAATCACCCCAAAACCCCTCCAGGCCCCTCCCAGCGCCCCCAGTGCGCACCAGTCGTAGTCGACGACGGCGATGGTGAGGCTGACGTGGTGCACGCTCTCGTGGGGCACGTCGAACACCAGCGCCTCGTTGTAGTTGGGGTTCAGCGTGTTCTTCTTGATGGACGTCTTGCGCTTCTTCAGCCGCCGGCCCTCGGCCATCAGCGAGGCCTTCACGTAGGGGTCTGCGGGCCCCACAGACCGCATGGGGCCCCAGGGCGCCCCAAAATAGTCCATAGAAACCCAGAGCACCCCAAAATAAACCACAGGACCCCACAGACCCCAAAATAACCCACAGGACCCCACAGACCCCAAAATAACCCACAGGACCCCACAGACCCCAAAATATCCCACAGGACCCCACAGACCCCAGAGCGCCCCAAAATAACCCACAGAGCCCATAGACCCCAAAGCACCCCATAATAGTCCATAGATCCCCACAGACCCCAAAATATCCCACAGAACCCCATAGACCCCAAAGCACCCCAAAATAACCCACAGGACCCCACAGCACCCCAAAATAACCCACAGGAACCCATAGACCCCAGGGTGCCCCAAAATAGTCCATAGACCCCCCACAGACCCCAAAATAACCCACAGGACCCCAAAGCACCCCAAAATAACCCACAGGACCCCATAGACCCTAAAGCACCCCATAACAGTCCACAGACCCCATAGATCCCCAAGCACCCCTTAGTAACATGGTCCCATGTTCCCCTGTGACCCACCTGTCCCACCTGTCCCACCCGTGACACACCTGAGTAGCCGGTGAGCTCCATGGTCCCGTACCCCCCGTGACACACCCGTGACACACCTGTCACACACCTGTCTCACACCTGTGACACACCCGTGACACACCCGTGACACACCCGTGACACACCTGTACACACCTGTGACACACCCGTGACCCACCTGAGTAGCCGGTGAGGTCCATGGTCCCGGTCCCCCTGTCCCACACCTGTCTCACACCTGTCTCACACCCGTGACACACCCGTGACACACCTGTACACACCTGTGACACACCCGTGACCCACCTGAGTAGCCGGTGAGGTCCATGGTCCCGTACCCCACCTGTCACACCTGTCCCACACCTGTCTCACACCCGTGACACACCCGTGACACACCTGAGCAGACCTGTCTCACACCCGCGACACACCTGAGCACACCTGTGACACACC